TCTGACCTGGTGCGAGGGTTTGTTAGCCAGCTGCGTTCTCGCGCTCACTCCTGCCTTGGACTGACCCTGTGCAGGCTCAAGGCTGGAGGAGAAGCCCTTCAGCGAGATGGAAATGTCGTACATCAAGCAAGGAGAGGAAGCCCTCCAGAAATCACTCAGCATCCTCGGGGACCAGGACGGCTGGAAGACAGAGACGGTGGCGGGAGGTGCTCTGCTTCGCAGCAGGCTGGCGCTGTCCTCCTGTAAATACTTGTGAGGTTAATTCTGCTTTCCCCTCCCCAGGGTAACGGAGACAAGGTGCTGAGCAAGGTGCTCCCAGACGTGGGCAAGGTGTTCCGGCTCGAGGTGGTGATGGACCAGCCCCTGGACGCGGTGTACAGCGAGCTGGTGGACAACATGGAGCAGATGGGAGACTGGAACCCCAACGTCAAAGAAGTCAAGGTGGGAAGCACGTGTGGGACCCGTCTCAGGGGGCTGCACGCCCGCGCTGCTCCCGGGGGCAGGGGAAGGGCCAGGGAATCGCTTTGCCCCATGCGGCAGGAGCAGAGGGGTTTCTCCACCCGTTCTTTGGGAAGGAGAGGGACGTTGGACTTTATTTTCTCCTCTCCCTGCTGCAGAGGTAGGGCTCGTTCTGCACGCAATCGCCCCTGCAGCTGAAGTGAGGCTGTAGCAGCTTTTCTGCTGCTCACTCTATAGGAAATGCACTTTTTACTGCAAGGCCACAGTCCAGCACCACTGTTAAATTCATCCTGTTACTGGAGAAGTAACGCAGCAGCCCAGCAGGCAGGGAAGAGCATTTTTCATGAAGAGAAATGTTTTCCTTTTTCAGATAGTGAAAACTAATGTTCTGCATTCTGGGATGAAGCAGATATTTGCAATTTTTCTCGCTATGAACACTCAGTTTTTCTAAGAGCATGTATTTGAATGCACAGTAATCGAAGCTGTCATTTAGCTCTGTTTGCAGTAAATATTTTAAGTTAGCATTTTAATTCTAAACTGTCCAGATTCTCCAGAAAATCGGCAAGGACACAGTGATCACCCACGAGAAGGCGGCCGCTACCCCTGGTAACATCGTTGGCCCTCGGGACTTTGTGAGCGTCCGGTGCTCGAAGAGACGTGGCTCCACCTGCGTCTTGGCCGGCATGGCCACCAAGTACGGCGCCATGCCTGAGCAGGACGGATTTATAAGGTAAATCCCATTTTCCACTCACTTATGGGGTGCATGATGAACCTCAGCGTCGCTCACTTGTGTTCTGTGGGGACTCAGAGAAACTGGGTTTGTCTCGGGAGGGGAATCGAAGAGAAGCCCAGCTCACCAAGCCGTTCAGCGTGGCTGCAAGGTTTGGGGTGGGCTCGGTGCGTGGTGGCTGGATCATGGGTGCCCTCCTGTCCCCCCACAGAGCCGAGAACGGTCCCACGTGCATGATCCTGCGCCCGCTGGCCGGCAGCCCCTCGCAGACCAAGCTCACCTGGCTCCTCAGCATCGACCTCAAGGTACGGTTTTGCCA